TGTGAGCATGAGCTGACAGAAATAAAAAAGGAAGAAATAATAATAATAATATAATAGTAATAAATAAAATTTATATAGCACCCTCTCTATAAATATTCAATGCCACTGTCTACTGTCAAAGTTCTTATCATGGATAAGACAATTTAACAAGGTATGTCTTTAGTTCTTTTTTAAATCTTTCTATGCTGCGAATTTCTTTTATATGTTCTAGTAGATTGTTCCATAATACAGGTCCAGATTTTGAAAGTGCTCTATCTCCAAACGTCTTACATTTGGTTCTGGGAACAAACAGCTGATCATTGTTTCTGAGATGGTAGCGTCMCTTCGTCCCTCCGTTACCTACTGTCATCATCATCATCATCATTCGCCTGCAGCTCAGGCGACCACAATCTCTCTCCACTGCACCCGGTTTTGCGCCATGACAGCAATCTGGTCAGGCCGAAGAGAGCCATCGCCRTCCCCCAGCCGCTGTTGAATGTATTTAAGGTATGACATTCGAGGTTGGCCTGGTCTCCTCTTTCCGTGTGGTGGGATGTATAGAGCATAGCACTTGACGGGTTCCTTGTCGGAGAGTCGCAGGATATGACCCAAAAATTTCAGCTGACGGGTTATAATTTGCTGAATCAATGGYTTTGTTTCAGTCCTGRCKKGTATCTCTGTGTTTGSGATTCGGTCCGTTCGTTTGACTCCGAGCATAACTCTTAAKCAGGATGTTGCGAAGGAGTTGATTTTGTCCTCCATGGCTTTTGTTATTACCCAGGATTCACACCCATAGAGGAGGACTGTGATGCATGTTGTGTTGAACAACTTCACCTTGATTTTGATAGGCAGTTTGTTGCTCTAGACTCCAGAACGCGCTCCATGCTAGCCCCAAATGTCTTTTTAAATCGTTTGAGCTAGATGCCATCATTGAGCCCAGGTACTTGAAATCTTGTACATGTCTGATTGGTTCACCATACACTTTTAGAGGTGGATGCTGGTCACAGTTGAAGGTCATGTATTCTGTTTTCGGGACGCTTATGATGAGAYCTAGTTCTTTTGCTGCTGCTGCTGTTCTTGTCAGCTGGTCTTGTGCCCGTGACCTTGTGGATTCGAGTAGGCCAATGTCGTCAGCAAAGTCAAGATCATTTAATTGTTTTGCTGGGTGTCGCCTGGACTGGCGAGGATGTGTCACCACTCCTGTGTCGATTCCATCTGTTGCTTTCGTTAGCAAATAATCAACTAGGATAATGAAGAAGAATGGTGCTAGGACATCACCCTGCAGTACTCCGGTGGTCACCTCGAATGGTTTAGAAATGCATCCGTTAACCATCACTGCACTACTGGTGTTCACGTACAGTGCGCAAATGGCTTTAACAACTGCTTCCGGGATTCCATAGTGTCTAAGAATAGCAAACATGACCTTTCTGTCTATTGAATCGAACGCCTATGAACGTGATGTTCAGTGGAAGCTGGCCATCTTTGAAGCCCTCCATGATCCTCCGGAGAATGTGAATTTGTTGTGCACAGCTCCTGCCTTTCCGGAATCCTGCTTGGTTACTCCGCAGGATGGGATCTATGTAGTTCCTAATTCTGATCAGTAGAATCTTGTTATAGACTTTAGCAGCTATAGACATAATCGATATTCCGCGGTAGTTAGTCATCAGAGTTAGATTCCCCTTCTTTGGCACAGGGACAATGCTGTTAGTGATCCACTGGTCTGGCGGAGTCTAGGTCGTAAA